TATTTTGATTTACAGGACAAGATCTGCAATCATAAGAGGAGGGACCACTACATAATAAGCAACTGTAATGACATATTTAAATATATTCTTTTGGATTTTCATAATTATACTGTATTATAAGATTAGAAATTTAACCCTTTAATTTTTAGAAATATTCTGCATTATCACTCCCTATGATTGCATAATATTTTGTATTGATGAATAAATTGTTATACTATTCATCTCCCAAATATAATTCTCTTCTTATTATCTCTGAACCTTCAAGGTATGATATTTGACATTTTGATTTAATAGTCCAACTATTTGAGTATTCAAATGTAACAAAATGCCAATTAGTTAAAACTTCTAAATCGAAAATCATTATTTCCCATCCACTATCATAATTGTTAATGTATTAGAGTAAAGGAGTAGCATAGTGATAAGATATAAATGTATAATTGTGTGTATTCTCAAAATCAAAGTCAACCTTTATCAAGACAATCTCATCTCCAACTCTAGTTTCACTAGTGTAACTTTTAAAAGTAGTCAATCTAAGTAATAAATATGTAAACCAAGAATCTGACTCCTTTGGGTCATATTTTACCCATCCAGATATACAAAAATTCTTACCTACTTAATCAAATTCCATTTTAAGCTAGGTTTAACCATCAAAGATTTAAATACCTGGAACTAATTCAAATATTTATTCTTCTTCTACTTATGGAGGAATTTTGTAGTTATTAAAATAATCATCATAATTGTAGTTTTGTTCAATCATAATTAACTTAGAGATTCTACCTAAAAACTTTTCTAACTTAATATCTAAAATCTAAAATAAATGACTATTAATTACTTTTAGATCAGAATCACCAAGAATAAATAATATATTAGACAATTCCTCGTATGTTTCGAATAAATTAATGACATTACTATTTAAAGTTTAGATTTAAATTTCTTTCTTTTTAATTATTATCATCGTCAGTATCCAAGTTCCTTCATATTATAAAGGATCATATTATTGCTATTCTTACTATTCTTTCCATTCTTCTTCTTATCCACCTTCTTCTTCTTCTTCTTCCCCTTCTTATCCTTCAAACATCCCTTACAAATAGAAGTTATGACTAACTGTCTCTTAGTAAAGGTCTATGTTTACATACATAGCTATTATAAGCTTTTAATTGTCAAGATTTTTAATATGAAAAAGCTGTTACCTTCTTACTATTGAATATTAACTAATTTATTAAGTTGGAATGCAAAAGCTCCAAAATGCCAATTTAATCTGAATGTCAATTTCAAAACGTTATTCTTATTTTTGAGTTTTTAAATCTAGAAGTTAGTCTTCATAATCACTTTATGCTACAATCAGAATAACATAAAGGATAATAATGATCATGATCTTTATCAAATACATAAATAATAATATTGATTTGTTATCAAAATCTAGGGGAGATTTAAGTTTAATATCATTTGTTTTGCGAATTTGATGAAGATGTTTCAATAGGTTTGATATTATATATGATATGAATTAAGTATTATGGTTTGTCTGAATTATCTGAGCACTTGACATCTTGATAGGGTTTGGTCAAATAACGGGTTCAAAAAAAGCAATGTATATGATGTCAATTTTAAGGGATTACGAGACTGATGAAATTTTTTGTCGTAAGGTAGGCTCTAACAGATAACAGCTTTGCATTGTAGTAAGATGAGTTTGGCATAATGTACAGAAAAATTTATCACTAGATTGTTGTTGCTCTATTTTGACCTCAACTTGAAAATTTTCTTTTTGTACAAGCTTTTTTTCACTTTAAGAGGATGTCGGTGCAAATTGCTGTGCACATCTATTATCTATATCATCGATTGATTGCTGAGTTTAAGTCGAATTTTTTTTAATATTGTTCTGTTTTTTCTTTTGATGGATGAATGGCCAATTGTTTGTAGTATTTTTATATTCCGTTGATATATGAATGTTTATTTTTTTTGTGTTGGACTTGTTTTGTTCAGTTATTATGTATGTGTTCAATTTTTATATGTTCATCTTTTTCTGCTTAATTGTGAGTGAGTGTTCAGTTGTTTTGCCCATCCACTTTTGCTTAATTCTTGGAAAATTGAATGCCTAATTATTACGCTAGCTTTTTAGTGCTCTTTTGATGGTTTGAATTAACATTAGGGAATATATCTCTTTAGAATTAACTTTAGTTGATATTTCTAGATTACATTCTTTATTTGCTCTAAATTGTGTCATTATAAAATTAACTTAGGTAGGAAAGTGTAATAGTCAAAAAGGCGAAGTTTTGAAGGAAATTTTAAGGAATGTAAGTTGGTTGATGATATAATTATATTTTAAGGTATGTAAAAGGTAGAAATTATTTTTTTTAGAAAAATATTTTTTTAAAGAAATTAATATAAAATGAATGAATAAATGAACGAAATACAATTAAAGGAAATGAAAAATAAGAAATTATAATATCAAAGAAAATAAACAAAAAACTTAAAGAACAAAAATAAAAAACTTTTATTAATATATTAAATTGGCATACTAAAAACAACTAAATTAAATAATAAAATAAAAATAATTAATGAAGAAACAAAAAAAATTTAAAATTCTGAAAAACCATTTACAATTCAAAGTTTTGACAAGTCATTAAATAAGAAATTAACAAAAATTTAACAAACGAAAAAATTGTATATTTTTTTATATGAGATTTGCTTGTTGCGTATTTTGGTACCCCATCAAAGTTTTTAAAGCATATTATTTGCAGCATTCTAATAAGACATTCTCTTATATGTAAGGATAGATTAGAGGATATCCTTGCAGCTGCCAAAAATAAAATAGCTATTATTCTTCTTTAGTTTTTTTTAAGGGGAAACTTGAATAACTTATCTTATTTATTTTTATATTATGCAAAAAATATTCTACAAATATGTTTCCTATTTATATTTGGATAACTCACTAGCTTGCATTTTAAGCTTTTTCCTATGATAATAAGGCTAACTTATTTTCTCTAAATAGAATTGACTTAGAACTTAATTTGTTGCAATAATGCTTTCATAAAGTTGCAAAAGGATAGACTTTACCAAATCCTCAATTTATTTCTGATTGGAGAATAATGTTTTATTAATTGTTAAATTAATTTAATAGTTTTGCATAATTTGCTGTTATGAAAAAATGTTAAAACTGTTTTCAAGGATTATATTCCTCTAAAATATATCAAAAGAAAATAGGGCATTAATTCTAGCAGCCTATATTTTGTTTGAGTTCATATAACATTTAAAAACAAAATAAAGTTTTTAAAAATTTTTTTTTTAAATAATAAGAAATTGAAACTTTGAAAACAAGGAAGATGTCTTCCAGTTGAATTTAAAAGAATATTTTTGATGTTAAAAATAATTTACAAATTTGAATTATATTTTGTTTTGCATAATTTACATTTTATTAATTATAAATTTTCCATTTTTTAGATTTACCCTTAATTAGAAAATCAATTTAAAATATGATTAGCAATCCTTTACAATAGTTTTTTCTACACAAAAATGTAAATTTCCAGTTTTAGATATAAATTATAAATTAAAATGGAACTATCATTAATTTGCTGTAATAATTACGTTTAAAAGAATCCAAATGTAAATATTTATTTTGGTTAATTTTACCTAATCATTTTTTTTTCAAATTAAACCGAAAGTAATCTTTTTCTTGACTTTTATTTGAATTTCATCCTAAGAGAGTTAAATCAGTTAGTAATAAGTTTCATTCGCTCTACCTAAATATTGGTAAAGTTTTCTTAGAGTATGTTTTATCTATTGATAATCTTATCTTTTAATTTTTGATTTTACTCCTAGTTTATGCTTTTATTTGAAAACAATATTCAAAAATTATTATTATATATCAGTTTTGCATAATGACTGTATAGTTTTAATATCAAAGAAAAAATGACAATAACTAATTAAAATTATCAATTAATTGGATAATAATAGAGTAACCAAAAATAATTTATCAATAATTAATATGTAAAAGATTTTTAATAATTATTGTATAATTTATGAGCAAAATTAAAATATTGAATTTTATATTTTTTGCACGTTGTTTTGAATAAAGAAAGAGCTAATTTTTCACAATTCATATAATAACTCATCAAGCTGATATTTTGCAAATATAATAAAATAAGATTAAAATTCTTACATAAAATTAAATTAATATAAAAATTTCAAGAAATGATAAAAGAAAATGTTAATTTCATTAAAAAAAATTCTTCCTCAATAAAAAAGTTTAAGAATTTCTGACATAAATTTTAATGAATAATTTTAACACTATTAAGCAAATTTTTGAATAGTTCATAAATTGATAAAACTCAAATCAGAAAATCAATTATTTTTTCTTTTAAACGATATATCCTATATTTAAAATGGATTGAAGGAGAGTTTATTCAGCTTATGAAGTAGTTTATTGATGAATTTAAAACAAAAATAAAACTAAATAAAAACAATATATCAACTAAATATTTATTAGATTATATTTCAAGTATAACTAAATTCAATTTTAGAATTTAAGATAATAAGAAGTATTTCCAAAATCTTAGATTGATTAAGCATCCATTTTAAAATCGAAAATAATAAAAAATAAATTTAATAAAAAGAGGCAATACTACTTTATCAATCTCTCAAATAATGATATTATTTTAAATTAGGATTTTATTATATGAATAATGACAGAAATAGATTATTTGAAATACAAAAATAGATTTATAATTTGAAAAAAAATAAAACATTTGATTTATTTGATTATTCATTTAAGTTAAATGTTTTGATATTGAAATAATTAATGTTAAAAAAAAAATTAATCTCTTTCATTAAATAGGAACAAAGCTATTTTATTAATTATTCAATGCTTCCATTTTTTATTAAATAATAAACAATATTTAAATATATTTTTATCATCTAAAAATTTATATGCTAATCATTATTGAAATATAGATATATCTAAATTATATTTATAAGTCATTATTATTTGATTTATGTCTCAATTATCAACCTTAAATCTGTTCTTTCCTTTTTTTAATAAATTCTTTTATTGATAAATATCTTTCTTTCATATCCTAATAAAATTACTTTAACAAAAAAACTAATTGTATAAATATAGAAAACCCTATAAAAAATAAAATAATCCAACCAATCATATACTTTTCTTGAAAATTTAATATTTCACCAACATCATGAATAGCTAATATAACAGTTAAGAAAATAATAATGAATATACAAAAGTCAGGAATAGCAATTTATATTAAAATCTTTTTATTCTCAAAGGGATTTTCATAAAGAATTAAAGCCAAATTTGAAAAGCATGATAAACAACAAAAGGAGGTTTATAGTAATGGTAATTCATAAAAATAAACTGTAAAGAAGATAAACATTGTTTTACGGATTAAGTTAACAATACAATAATTTTTAGCTAAATGTTTATTAGTGTTGATTCCTTCATATAATGAAGAATAATTTTAGGAGAATTTTTTATTTTAATACAGAATTGGATGCTGGGAACAAACAAATTTATACAATTTAAAAATTAAGACAATGAATAGTATTCCTATATAAGCTGATATGATGTTAATGATAATAATTGAAAAATTTTAATTCTATGAATATTTTAGTTAAAGTACACATGCTAAACAAATATCTAAAAAAACTAAACCTATTACTTAAATTAATTTTGCTCTAAAATTCAAATTAAACTACAGAGCCTCTTTATAAATTAAACTTAATATTTAAGGAGGATTTCGAATAGGTTGAGAGATTTTTTTACTAACTTTTTTTTATTAATTAATTTTTAAATTGGTATGGTTTTATTACTAATTTTAATTAAGTGAGAAAATTTCTATTTGATGAGTCCTTTTAGTTCTAAAGTAATATTTTGTCTCAATAAAATTTACATAGATTCTAGATAAAAAGTACATCAAAAATACTAGAAAAATCATTATAATAAATATTTGAATATTATTGAAAAATAGAGGATTAACATCTTTCTCTGTAAATTTAGGGGGAGCTTCAAAATAATATGCGTCATCTGGTTAATTTAATGATATTACATCTGGTATATTCATTATATCACCCCATTCTAATTAATTAAAAAACATTTTAACATTTAAAGGATAGTCTACGTTTAGGAAATAGAAATTATTGATCCATGTCAAAATATCTAAAATAGTCCAGAAAAAATTAAATCCTCCTAAAATTATTGTTAAAGGTCCAATTAGTTAAAGTAAAAGTGTAAATGTAGATGAAGCAGATACTACATTTTTTGCTTAGGCTTATTATTCTTAATTATAAAAAACTTATTTCCTTGGAGTTATTATAATTTCTCTCATTTCTTCATCAAGAATTCGATTAGATTCTTTTATTAATGGAACAAGTAAATGAATGAGATTAGCTTCTAAAATGGATCTGAAAAAATTAAACCGGATTTCACATCCAAAAATTTTTTCTTAAATTTCAGATCTCTTAAAAACTGAATAATTAAATTCATTAGATTAAAATTCTTCTATTGTTATTATTAATTTATCACATACTACTTCCAATTCTAATTCTTCAAATAATAAATAAATATCGCTTGTTGTAGTTGAATTCTTATAAGAGAAATCAATTTTTTTTTTGGGTGATTAATAACAAACACCTGATTTACAAATAAAATCTTTTTCAACTTGACATTTTGAATTACAACCATCCATGTCTATATTGTTACCATCATCACATTATTCGCCGCCTTAAATAATATTATCTCCACATTTATTAACACATGATTTTAATTATTAATCTAAATACAAACCAGATATTTTATCACATATTGAGCAATCTGAAGTTTTGCATAATTTACAATTATTCGGAGTATTTTCGCATTCTTCGCATTTTTCTGAACATTAATTACATGTATTATCTTTGAGAAAGTATCCTTTATCGCATTTCTAACATTAAGTATTTATTGAATTTATATAAATACATTCCATACAATGATCTTAACATTTAAAACAAAAGCTTAGATTATTTTAATCCTCTTAACATTCATAATTTGAATCAATCTTACATAAAGTACATCCATCTCTACTTATAACATTTTGATCATCACATTACTCATTACCATTTTTGATACCGTCTCCACATTTAGATTCACATTTCTATCCATTTAATTGGTATCCTAATTCACAATCAAAACAGATTCCTTACTAACAATTTGTACAATTTTTATCGCATTGATATTAACAGTCAAAACAACCATCATAAGGAATATTGTTATTATCATCACATTATTCTTTACCTTTTACTATTCCATCTCCACATCTAGGAAGACAATCATTTGTATAATTATCATAATATAATCCTTATTAATCATCGCATAATTCCAATTATTCACACAAACGGTTTGATTAATTCAAAATAAAAGTGTCCTCACATTTAGAACAATTACCTAGTTAACAATCTAAACATTCCAATTGACATTGATATTTACAATGGTAACATCCATCATATTTAAATTCATTACCATCTTCACATTCTTCATTTGAAGCAACTAAATTATCCCCACAAATAGAGAAACAAGAATTGTTTACAATATCTAAATAATAACCATATTCACAAAGCAAACAAGTTTCATGAAAATATTTACATTATTGATGTTTTATTATTTGACAACTAAAGCAATCCTTATCGTTAAATTCACATAATTCATCATAAGCAAGAATTCCATCACCACATTAAGAAACACATTAATTTATTTAATTTAAATAATATCCTTCTTAACATTTAACACAAACTTCTTTATAACATTCAATGCAAAAAGAATAACATTAATTACAATAGAGATTAAGAGATATTTTCATCTACAATTCACATTAGGTTTATGTTATTTCATGTTTTTTGCAGTTTTCATTAAATATATCATAATCTGCATTTAGATTGCATTTTAGACAAGTATCTTAAACCGGAAATAAACAATGATCAATAGTTTTATTAGGTTTATCTAATGATTTAATACATTATTATTGTAAATTGGGAGATATTTCATAACCTTCTTTACATAGTTAACAGAAACCAAATTGAAATATTTTACAATTTTCACTACTTTAATATATACAATTTTTGCATCCATCAAATTATTCGAGTCCCTCAAAGTAATCACATTACTCATAAAATGTTTGAATCCCATCTCCACAAATGGAATAACATTTTGATTGTATTAATTAATACCCATCTATACAATCTAAACATATTCCTTTTAAACAGAGCCCACAGGAAGCTTAACAATTAAATTTACATAAATGACATCCATCATCATAAACGAGATTACCATCATCACATTCTTCATCTTCAGTTGCTATATAATCACCGCAGATAGGAATACATACTTTATCTATTATTTTATAGCCTTTTTAACACGTTAAACAGCCTCTACCTATTGTACTACAAGATTTACATGAAGGTTAACATTTGTTTTAACAATTTTAACAACCTTAGTAAGGTAAAATTAATCCATCTTCACATAACTCTAGTTATACTTTGATTGAATCTCCACAAACAGGAAGACACATTTAATCTACTGAAAGTTTATATCCTTCTGAACAACCCTAACATCTTTAATCAACACAACTTTCACAAATAGTTGGTAATGGACATTAATATTAACAGAAACTATCACATCCATCAAGAGAATCAGTATTATTATCATCACATTATTCCGAATGAATTCCAGTTGGATCAGTCACAACTATCCCATCTCCACATATATTTTTACAATAAAATTTAACTGGTTTAAATCCTGTTCCACAACTTAAACAAGTATTTGTAGTATAATCACAAGATAAACAACCTTGTCTGCAAAAATATCGACAATCTTTGCATCCGTCTGTATCAATTGAATTCCCATCTTCACATTATTCAGTACCTAATATTATACCATCTCCACATATTTCTTTACAAACCTAAGGAGTTTATGTATAATCTAGAGACCATCCACTTGTTGCACATTCATAGCATAATCCTTTAATACATATTGTACATTAAGGTTAACATTAATATAGACAATTATAACATCCGTCATATTCAGCGTTATTTCCATCTTCGCATTCTTCATTACCTGTAATTAAACCATCTCCACAGATATCAGGACAAGGTAGAATTGTAGACGAATCACAAGTCAAACAGTTTTTTGGACATTGAAATTAACAATTGAAACATTTATCATCAAAAATATTGTTACCATCTTCACATTGTTCATATCCTTCTACTTTTAAATCACCACAAAAAGGACGACATTCATCAAATTCCATAATAAATCCCTAGCTACATTAATTGCACATTTAAGTATGCCAAATTTATAAATTATAATCACAATTTTTATAACATTGAGTCAAAGAACTATCTAAAAATATAGGACAGGCTATATAATATTTAAATTAATACCTAAGCAAACATTGTTTATTTCTTAATATCCAGATCGACAAACACATTCTAAACCTTTTAAAACTCTATTTTCTGATTAATTGCAAGTAAGACAACCATTAATAGTTGTTCTAAAACATGTCAAACAGGAAAAATGACATGTATTACAGGAATTTGTTTCTTCTTCATAACATTTACCTTATGGACATGAGCAAGTTGATTCCACTTTTTATATCATATTTATATTTTTGCATGATATACACTCATTATTTGTAGGACCAAAACAACTCTCACAAAATTTATTACAAATTAGACAGATTGGGTTATTATTGGTTGGATAATAACCATCAATGCAGACACATTATTAATCTAAAAGTTTTCTATTATTTATTGTTAAACATTCAATACACTAAGTTGAACTTAGGCATTAATTACATTCTATTGGGCAATTATAACATTTGTTTTATTATTCATATTCATTTATTTTACAAACACACCCTTCTTTTGTTTAAGTATAAGTATCTTAACAAGATAAACAATGGAATATTGAAGTGCAACTCAAACATGAAGAAGGACAATCTAAACAACTAAGTGTAGGTGTATTATAATATTAATTAGACAAACATTCATCTTAAGAAAACTTTATTAAATTTGAATTATAAGTGCTCTCCCATAATGTACATGTTTTTTAATTGATACACGATAAACAATAAGGTTGACAATAATGAACAGCAATATAAAAGTTATAAACACCACAATATGCTTAAAAAGGTTCATTATTTGGCCCAAAACATTCCCACACAAGCATCATTTAATTACTCGTATGGCCTATTTTTTCATAAATTCTCTAGTATTTTGTATTATCGTAATTATTATCATATCCATCGCTTAAAGATTTTTCAACTTGAGTTCTAGAATCAATTCTGTATATAAATTGACCATTCATAGGGAAATTAGGACCATATAAAATATAAAATCCAATTGTGACACCATGATGAGGTTTTAGATTGTTGAATGTTCTTTAAAATTTAGCTTATGCCCAAACATATTGACCTCCAAATATCCTTTTCGAGGACCAAAAAGAATAGTAAATATTTAAACCTTTCAAGAAATTAACTCCGTTTTGAGATTACAATAAATAATTTTAGTATTATAAGGGATCATGTGCTAAATTTATATATTCTTAAATTAAATATTTTGAATCTAAATATAAGTATATTCTTACATGGTGTTTCATCATCATAATCTTAACAATATGAATTGACAAGATTCTAATAAGGTTCAGAACAACTAGCTATGCAAGTACCTTATTTATAATTATAATATCCACTAATGCAAGTTATGCAGACGAATGGTACTTCACAAGTCAAACATTATTGGGAACAATATCCTGATGTAACCGTAATTGAGCGAAATCCCCAACCTGCTTATGCATCTCTAATTTTGTTATAGATAATGAATATTACGTAAAATTTCCTTATACTTTTAATAGAAATTAATATGGAGGTATATCAAAAAATCCATATAATTCATAAATCTGACAACTTGTGTATGTAAGACATTAAGAAGAAGAGAGTTGATACATATTTTCAATCTTGATTTTATGAGTTTAAATTCCTATATTTGTTGAGAATATTGAACCAAAATAAGTGTTATTAATTTTTAATTCGATACCACTTCCTTGTGGTATCAAATTAAAAATCCACAGTTCTATTTTCAAACCTATTAAATAATGTTTATTCATTATAGATGAAAAACTAATAAATTTATAAAACCCTGAATTCAATTTAAATATTCCGAATACAAAATTCTCTAAGACAGAGGGACGAGTTTCAATATGTTGTGGGTCAAAAATCAAAGAGTATTATAATATGGTTGTTGACGAAGTTAGCAAATAGAAATATTAATTAAAATAATTGATTTCTAAATTTATATCAATATTTACAAGTATAGCTTTGACAGAATCCATTTACATAATTTTGTTATGAAAATAGACAATTTTAATGGCAACCTTGATTTTTTCTATAAAATAAGTTTAAAGGACATTAAGGGCAAATATTATTGGTTGGTGAGCCATAATAGCATGATGTACATTAATTTTATTCAGGTCCTGTGCATTCTAAACAAGATGGATAACAAATGTTATTAAGATGAGAAAACATGATATTTCTTATTGAAGCTTATCCATTTCCATTTATTTCTGATTTAAATGTTATTTAACTAGTACTTGAGGAAGGTATTGTTAAGTTTATAGTTTTGACTTCGTAGGCAATAGAATCACAAAATCCTATTGTCATAAGATAAATAGTTGGGGAAGTGTACGTAAAGGAATATGAAAACGTCCCAAACATAAAAGTGATAATTTCATTTGTCCAAGTACCATGAAAATAAAGGTCAAAGGAAATAATCCCACCACTCTCTATAAATTAACTATAATAAAGTTAAGCATTAGTATAATCTTTATTCAGTGTTATATAGCTAGTAAGAGGGCTAGCGCAATCGATAAAGTTTGCAGTTGATAGAGGTTGAGTAATTGTTACAAATCCTCCTGCATAATTAGATTAGTATGCAATTGTGCTTGTAATTTGTTAAAATTTTTAGTTTTAGGTTAAAAGTGCCAATTGATTCGACCATTACCCTTAGGCATAAAGGTAAATAAAAAAACAACAAAGTTTTAATTGTGAATAAAATATCATTTACTTAATTAAGTAGTTTTTAATTTTAAAAATTATTAGGCCTTAAACAATATTGTGAATTAACGATTTTAAGTTAAAAAAATTAGGGTTTGAGTTTTACTTTATGGGTTTGGTAAAGTCTACATAAAGGGTTTGGGTTTGGGTTTGGTGTATATTACCCCCTCACTACCCCTTGATATATACTATGGTTGGGGCCGTGGAAAATTTTGCCAAAATGAGGATTGGGGTTGGGGATTGGCGTTGGCGTTGGCGTTGGCGTAGGGGATTGGTAGAATTGAAGATTGTTATGGGGTTATTTTAATTTTTATCGTTAATCATATTTTAATTTTAACGTTAATCAATATTTGTATAATATTTTTATTATTTTCATTTTTAATTATATTTTTGTTTTTAG